ACGGGATCTATCTCCTTTGCTAACACAAACAAGAGAACCCCGTGATCTCAGCACTGATCTACAGCCCCCCAAGGAATTTACCTACACGTCTGCCCAGCTGTTTGACTCACTTAGAAACTAAGGACTAGAGGTGTTGAGAAGACAAAAATACCCACGTTTGAAACAAGATATCAAGATCAGGATATACTTTCAGATACAGTACAACCCCCCCCAAAATCCACGGGATAAGCTTAGTCTGTAACAACAGCCCGAATCTACCTGCTGAAAACTCGCAGGGACACGTTCAGAGCTGTGACTTTGCTCAGAGAAAGTCCCCGTGATGCTGGGGGCAAAAGGGTTAAAGACACATTCGAATAACAAACCGAGTAGCCACATGTTTGTGCTCTCCTGGAAGAACTCTTTACATTTCAGAGCCGACACTCGTTCTACTTTCAATAAATCCGTGCTAAATATTTATACATCGATACACAGATAAACAAAAGACCGGCGCAATTATGGCAAAGACTGGACTCTTAAACAATTTAAATCAACACACTTATCTCACAAAACACAACACGGCCGCTCCTGCCAGCATTCAACGTTTCCCAGAGAAAGCAAAACGAAATACCTTCATCTAGTTGTGATGTTAAAGTTAACTGAGCAAGAGCGAGCGTTACAAAAGCCATCAGCTGGCACTTCAGCACAGCTCCCCGAACGGAGAAACAGAAAGCACCCGAGGAGAAGAAAAGGCGAGGGCAGGAGCGAAACTCTCCCCAAAGAGCTGAAATCGCAGCAAGTGGCGAAGTGAGTTCGCAGAAAAACAGACATGAGAAAGTTTACTTCTCACAAGATAAAAAAAACTGACGTGGTTCGAAAGTCATCTTACAATTGGTGCCAATCATTTGACGTTTGCAGACCTACCCCCAACCCACACTCTCATGAGAGCCCTTCGTTTGGGACAATGGGGGAGGGGGGGAAACGAGAGACGCAACTCATTTTCGGGCGATTTGAGCCTATGCCCCCGTTCAGAAATGTTCCGCAATGGCTGTCTCGGACAATTACAGCCTCTCAAAGCACCACAATTTTTTTTTTTTTTTTTTCCGCCCGAACCGCTCCACTCCAACAGAATTGTGCAATATAGACCTATTTACCTTCCCAACCCTTCCCTCCCCCCTCCTCAGATACTTCAACGGAACGAACAAGCCGAACTACTTGACCTCGAGCTTTTACATCGCGATAAATCAGCTGCCACATAGTGTCCAACAAATTTAACAAATTCGTGCCCAGCCCCTCCCCCGGGCCAGCTCGAAGGTGTTTGGTAAAAGCATCTCTCCACGGGCTCCTGCCAAGCGCCGTTTTTCTGACGGGGATGGCGAAAAAAAAAAAAAAAAAGAGCCAGGGACGGACAGAAAAGCTTCCTTATTAACAGCCGATTAAATCTGATTGCGACAACCCCTGTCAGGGACAAACTCGGGGCTTTTTTTAAGCCCGACTGCGCCCTTGTCAGGCTCCTTCCAAGTCGCAGAATATCCCGAGTTGGAAGGGACCCGCAAGGATCGTCGAGTCCAACTCTTCTAAAGTGAGCGGCCAGTCGGTAAGGGTTTCCTTAGGGCTTCTCTCTCATCCTTCAAGCATCAAAGCAGAGCTGGCTGCAGAAGGGTCTCTGCTCTAAGCAGATTAAAATCGGGTCTCTCCGCTACTCAAACGCGTTCCCGTCCTCGCCGGGTCTCCGAGGGTCCCCAAGGCACAGCGAGACCCTCGGGCCGCACAGCCCCGGTGTGACCCCCCCTCCCCAAACCCGACAGCAGCCGGGATGGCCCCGCCGAGCCCGGAGCCCTCGGGGAGAGCCTCGGCGGGGCCGCGGGAGAGGCGCTGCCGCCTCCTCTCCTCCCTCAGGGCCAGGGGGAAGTGGGAGAGGAAGGCGCGGGGCAGAACCCGCCGCCCCCTCAGCACCCCCTGCCCTTCCCCTCAGCACCCCATATTCCCTCTCAGCACCTTCTCCTCAGCACCCCATATTCCCCCTCAGCACCCCCGTTTTCCCCTCCAGGAGCCCTGTCTTTCCCCTCAGCACCTTCCTCAGCACCCGCTACCCTTCTCCTCAGCATCCCCTGCCCTTGCCCTCAACAACTCCTGTCTCCCCCTCAGCACTTTCCCCTCAGCACCCCCAGCCCGGCGCAGCCCCTCTGAGGGCACCTCCTCCGCCGCTCTGCCCCCGCGGGCGAAGCCCCCCCGACCCCACTGCCCTGAGGGCGAACCGCCCGCCGCCTCCTCCCGCCGAGCTCGTACCTGCTCGTCCCGGCGGCTCCCGGCCCCGGCGAGGCGGCGGCGGCGCGGGCGGCCGCGGCTGCTCTGGAAGCTCGGCCGCTTCCACACTCGAAAATGGCGCCGAAACGGCGAACTCGAACCGAAATTCGTTAGAAAAGCGCGGGGCAGGCTGGGACGGGAGGGGCCGGGCCCGGGGTTTGAACGGCACCGCCGCCCCGCCCGCCATCTTGTGTTCGTTACCGCGGGCGGGCAGCGAGCCCCGGACCCGCCGGGAGCGGCCGCCCGGGGGCAAAGCCGGGGCGAAGGGAGGCGTTCGGGGGTCGGGGCGGGGGGCGGACGCGACCCCCGCGGCCCGTTCCCCGCGCGGAGAGGGTTTAGCTTTAATTTTGGAAGTAGGTCAGTGGGCGGCGCTCGGTTGCCGGGCGACTCGCGCCGGTTTAAAAATGGCTAAAAAAAAAATAATCAAAAAAAAAACTGTAAAAGAACTTTTTAAAAGTTAAAAAAAATTTTTAAAGAAATCAATAAAAACGGTAGGCGCGCGGCGGTTTTGAAGCGGGTTTTACTAATTAGCGGGCGGCGCCGTGGCACCTCGGGGGGGTGGGGAGGGGGGGGCTGTTCGTGAGGTGGCGGAGGGCGAGGAGGAGGAGGAGGAGGAAGAAGATGATGATGGAGTCTCGCGAGAAGTCGCCATAGAGACGGCGGCGCTTGGGCGCGGGGGGAGCGGGTCCCGCCGCTCCCGAGGCGACGGGAGACGGGCGGGAGAGGCGGGATTATCCCGGGAGACGGGCGGGATTATCCCGGGAGACGGCGGCAGCGGGGTCCGCCCGCCGCTCCGCGCGGGTGAAGGCGGCCGCCGGCCCCTGTCAGCGGCAGGACTGAGTCACCCCGCGCGGGGCGAGGGGGCGGCCGCCGGGACCCCCCCGAGGGCGGGAGAGCTCCGGGCACAGCGAGGTGAGTGAGGGCGGCGGAGCGCCGAGCCCGGCACTGCCCGGGGGTGCTGGGAAATCTGCCGCTTGGGAAGCTGGAAACGGGAGGAAAACGGGGTGTTAGAGCGGGCTGTGGGGGCCGAGGCTGCCCCGAGGGGTCGGTGTTTCCTTCCCGGTGCCCCTCCGTCCTGCCCGCTGGTTTGGCTTCCCTGCGCTCCCCCCCTAATCCTGCTCTCTGGAATTCCTTCCCTGCGCTCCCCCCCTCCCGATCCTGCTCTCTGGAATTCCTTCCCTGCGCTTCCTCGTTCTGCCCGCTGGTTTTCCTTCCCTGCATTCCCGCTGTGCTGCTCTCTGCCATTCCCTGCGCTCCTCTATCCCGCTCCCTGTCCTCCCTCGTCGCTGCTCCCGGTCTCCTCCTGTCCCGGCATCTCCGGAGGCAGCAGGCGGTGTGGCGGGGTTTGGCGTCTCCCAGCCGGAATAACTCGCGGTTATTGCCCCATCTCTCCTAAACGTGGAGCGGAGCCGCTGCTGGATCCCTCGGGAGCTGCGTGGGGCGATCCGTGGGATATCTGGTGATGGATATCCCTGTGGGTGGCAGCGGCACGTACAGAGCGATTAAACCACGTTCAAAAATGACACTAAAGTTCTGGGCTCGTCTTTGGAAGGGAAAATGTTATTTGCCCTTCTCTCCACCCTCCTGGCTGTGTGTCAGCTCAAGGGAACTTCAGTGCTCCAACCTGTAATGGTTCAGACTTGGTGATCTTAAAGGTCCTTTCCAACCTTAACAATCCAAGGATTCTCTGCTCCCAGTATCACTTTTTCTTTGGATTGTCCACTCTGTTGATACTAAGCAGTAAGATACTTTTACAGCTGGGCACTGTAGGAAAAAGGTCTGATTTCATGCTTATTTTCCCACAGTACTAATGTATTATTACTTCAAAACTTTTTATTCTAATGTTAATGTCTTCCATTTTCATTTTGGCTGCTTATATGTGCACATATATTATGCTGCTTACACATATACATGTATTTGTTTTCTTGTATTGCAGTTCTGACATATGGCTTTTAATGTTACGCCTGAACAACTGAGATGAGACTGAAGATTTCTCTTTTAAAGGAGCCAAAACATATCCTTTGTCACAGAAAAAAACATGTTAGTTCTGAATAGACTCTTTTCCAGAAAATATTTCTTTATCACAGAAATTACAGTAAATTGCAGGTGGCTTTTTGTTTCTTTTTCCTTTCCTCCCCTTGTCCTTCAGTGCAGCCTTTAAGGACAATATTTTAAGAGATATTGAATATTTTTGGAGTAATAAGTTCACTTTGGAAGCTCTCAGTGTTTTGCTAGGAAGGTTTTGAGTTTTCCTACTTATTTGTAGTGACAAGTTAAAAGCTTTCCCAGACAGCAAAGGAGAGCAGTGATTTATTTACCTGCATGTAGCAGATGTAAACAAAAGTGTGATTTTCCTATTAATATATTGGATACATAGCAATTTATAATTTATGTGTTAATAAACCAACGCTTTTGAATGAGATTGGGTGTTTTGCTCTGGCATTGAGCACTCAGACCCTTCTAAAGGTGTAACCCAACATTTCAATAACTTTGCATCATCACAGTAATTATATTTTCACATGAGGGTTTGCTTTATTTTTGGGTGAGTTTCATGCCACAAGAGAGCACAAAAAGGAAAGAAGACTCGTAGTGTTTGTACAAAACATTCCATGTAATCTTAGGAAAATCATCTTCCTGTATCGTTCCTTCAGTTTTACGTAGCTTAGGTATTTTTTAAGCTTATTTTTATTAGTTAAAAGGTTGATATTCCTCAATTGAGTTGCACATAAGGAAGTGGTGAGCTGTGTGGGATGGACCACGGCTGACGAGCTCTACTCGTGCAGTGACGACCACCAGGTGATGAGATGGAACCCCCTGACGAGCGAGACCGCGCGCGTGGTGAAGCTCCCCGAGGATCTTTATCCCATCGATCTCCACTGGTTCCCCAGGAGCATCGGTGGGAAGAAGCAATCCCACGCTGAGAGCTTTGTCCTGACGAGTTCTGATGGTAGGGCAGTGGAAATTATCTATCCTTTCACCCCACCCAGTGTTTCTGTCCCTCAGGTACACGGGGTGTTGTTCTGGGAGCAGGGAGGTTGGAGGATTCCTGTTGGGGGGTGTTTTCCCTGCTCCTCACAAAGACCAGGAACTGATTTTGGACACAGCCACCTTTTTCTTCCTGCCTGAATTTTCCTGCAACAGCAAATCCCTCTGTGTGATCAGGATTCCTGGAAACTCCCTGGATCCAATGGAAAAAGAGGATAATGTCTTTACAGCATTGCATTAATTCCTGGTTGAACTCCAGATGTTTGTGAAATTAGAGCAAATGTAAATTTAATCCCTGTTGGGTTTTCTTCTCAGATGCTTCTCTTGGGGGACATTGTTCTTTTGACTTCCTACTTACACCCATCTTGTTGCTGCTTTTTTTACCAAAACAAAGAATATGCTCAGCCTTAAATTGCAAATGAAGCACAAATCACAAGTGATTTGGCCCATTTTTTCAGTTTTTATTGATAGTTTTACACTGGGTCGGCATTTAAGAGTCTGTGAAAAGTCATGAAGAAAACATCCATGTTTTATATTCCGTGTTTGAATGGGGTGTGAATCTTCCACCTGAAATTCCTCCAAATCTGGAGAGTCACTGTCAGACTGAGGCCACTTCTACCTTCAGTGCTTACTCTTCCCCTGCAAGGCTACAATTAACTGTTTCCCTGTTGGAAAGCTGCCTTGTGAAAGAAGCAGGAGCTCGTGGATTGGGAAAAGATGCAAAAAATTGGTTAAAGAGTTGGATGTTTCCCTGTATAAAGGGATTTTATCCCAGACTCTGAGACGTGCCCATTGTTTTCCTGATAATTTGGCCTCACCAAAACCTTCAGGCCCTTGCCAGCTTCCTCCTCTTCCATCTGAATTTATTTTAATGTGTTGAGGGGTTGCTTAAATTTAAATTCTGTTGGTTCAATGTCTAAAATGCCATGGAATTCTTGATATCCTTTAAAAAAGGAATGGCTGGGAAGAGCTCAGCACTTACTGCTGAGCACTGCAGGTGATGGCATGAGAACATTCATGTCATATCAGGTTTAATTATTCTGCAGTGACAAAGGTCTTGGCTACAGATGGAACAAGTATAGAAAATAAACCATGTTTATAATGTATTAATTGAAGGCCATTTTAGCAACTTAATTGGAGGAAACACTGTTGAATTCCTCTGAATCCAGGTATTATTTGTGCATGGAAAATGAGATTCTCAGACCTGAGAGGTGATCTGTAAGTGATACATTAATTAGATAAGATATATTTGATAATTATACAATAATGGAATGCTTTAAATTAACCCCCTGGAAGTGTCCAAGGCCAGGTTGGATCAGGGGCTTGGAACAACGTGGGATAGTGGAAGGTGGAATAGGTTGAGACTTAAGGTCCCTTCCCACCCAAAGCATCCTGTAATTCTCTGATATTTGAAATATAGAGACAAAGTGATTTATCCAAACCCTACTTTTCCCATCAGTGTCAAAAATCTTTTCCTTGGAGACCTTGCACTGCCACAGATTTATTTGGATGATGGTGCCCTTTTGGTAAAAAGCAGAGTGTGATTGATTTGTGGAGAGCCCAGGGGATTGTTTGGTGGTAGAGCCACCAGAATGCTTTTCCTTGGATTTACCTTGGCTTTATTTGATATTTTTGGGATGTTGTGTTTGTCCCAAAGTTCTGGGTGCTCTGGAACTTCCCTGTAGGGCTTTGCTGGCTGGGAGGTTAAAACAAATAACATTAAAATCACATTAAAACAAATTGCATTTTCAAGCAGTTCATTTGAATCCCTGGGCTGGTTTAAGCCACTCTTATTATATATAGATATAAAATCACACATACATAAATTTATATGAATTATATTATTTTTTTTAATATCTTTAGGGAAATTCCACTTGATTTCCAAGTTGGGAAGAGTGGAGAAAAGTGTGGAAGCACATTGTGGGGCTGTGCTTGCAGGAAGGTGGAATTATGAAGGAACAGCACTGGTGACAGGTGAGCATTTGCACATTCCTGAAGTGGTTTGAAACCCAAAGTAGCAGAAGAGCCCTTTCAAAATCAAACCTTCTGGTTTTTTAATACAGTATTTCATGATTTAAATTGTAGTTACACTGAATTTGGATGAATAAAACTGAGTCTTAATTGTTCACACACTGCTTGAAATTCTGTGAGAAAGAAAATGGAAACACAAAATCAGCAATAAAAATGAAGTTCCTTTTTTTTTGGTCCTAATTATCACTGAGGTTGTTCTCACCTTGTTTAATAGAAGTTAATTTTGCACTGAGTCAGTTCTATTTTAGATTAACATTGTCTATTTTAGCTAATAGAAGATCTGGTAAAAACATTCCTCTTTTTTAGTGATCCTATTTATTAATATGGAAGAATTCCATCCAATTTCTAGGAGCACCTTTTTCCTCATTAATTGGATCTGGGAGGTTTAAATTGCAGGACCAGAGCTGCACATTTTAAATATGAGAGCACACCAGGAAATCTGGGCTCTTAATCACAGAAGAGACTTGTTCATAATAACAAAATCACCATCCTAAATATTTTTTTCCTTAATATATTTCCTATTTGCACGTTTGGAAGACTAAATAAAAGGTATTTACCTGTAAAATCTGGATTTCTTTTAACTCAAACGTTTCTTAGGGAGAGAAACAAACACCATGATTGTTAATTATTGCACTGAATGGGCTGATTTCTCTGCTCATTTCCAGTTGGTGAAGATGGCCAAGTGAAAATCTGGTCGAAAAGTGGAATGTTGAGATCCACTTTAGCTCAGCAAGGTAAGAGCATTTCCTCCCTCCTCAAGAACAGCCCCCCCAGTCTGGCAGTGCTGCTCTGGTGAAGAAAAACTTCACCAAAGAAGAGAAACTTCATTAAAATGAGATGTAAATGGCAGTTGAATGCAGGAGGAACTACATTTAATAAAGTCTTCGAAACTCTCATTTTCACCAAGAATTCTCCCAGTGAAAAGCATTTTTAGACAGCAGTTCCACCCCAAGGATTTTCTGCTATTTCAGGGAGGGCACTGAGCTAAATTTTGTTTTTCAGACTTCGTGCGTGGAGCCCACGTGACCCTGCTGACATTTTGGAAGAAACCACACGCACCTGGGCTCGGGTTTAAATGTCAACCCTTTTCTTTATCTCTTTCTGAAACAAATTCTCTCGATTCTTTCAACCTGGGCAAGGCCTTTTAACCACAGGAGTGGAGGTGAAGTGCACTGCAGTTCTTTTGAGGAAGTTACCCCAGCAGATGTGATGTTTTTGTGCTTGCAGTGTACAAAGACGAGCCAACTGAAGGAGAATTTTGGAACAAAAAAAAAATAAATAAAAACTGAAGCTCACAATCTTCCACTTTTTCAGTTGGTAACGTTTTCAAGGGGATTGTGCTTAATGGAGCTTATTTGAGATTCCAGGGAGATTATAAAGGAAGGGGGATGTTCTAGTTTGTAGCAGGAATTTTCCCTGGTTTCTGAAGTTTCTGGTGCAGTACAGAAGTGCAGTTGAGTCCCCATAGAATAACTGTCATCTGGTTATTGGTGTTTTTAAGATAAGCTCCCATGAGGTTCCAAAACCCTTTAAATTGAATTTACAGAACGAGAATCCCCCAGACTCCTCAGTGGGATCAGGGTGAGATTCTGCAGAAATCACATTTTTTCAGGGGGTGTGAGATGTTTGAGCTCATTTTTCACTTCCTTTGCCATCTCCTTGAGAACTGAAAGCGTTCCCATTGCAAACACTCTTTGAACTCTTTGTGTTGGGAATATATTTCCAGGCTCTTCTCTTTGGATGATGCTCCACTTGCCTCTTCTATCTTTGGATTTTACTCCCTACAAAACCATGGCCATTCATTTTCCCCTTCTTTAGCTTTGCCAGTGCTTCCATGGAGCATTCCAGCTGTACATCCAGGCTGGTGGAACCCTTTGACCCCTCCTGCTTTAGTGTTGCCCTTATGGCTGTGTTTGTTCCTTGAGCCACTTCTTCATCCCTGAATTCTCCTGATATTCCTTTGGTTCCTCCTCACCCTGAGCTGTTGTGTTTGGGATTCCAGCTGAGACAATGCACTGACCAAAAGATCTCCTGTGGGATGGGAAGAATCCTGATATTCCTCCTTCAAATCCTCACTTTTCTGCCTTTCTCCCTCCTTTTCTCCCCGAATATTCCTTCCTGCAGCTGTTTGTCCCCACCACAATTCCCTGCAGTGTTCCTGTTCCACTGAATTTTCCCTTCCCAGAGTGCTGGCAGTGTTTTCCCCACCGACTTCTTGTTAAGTGCAGAAGGAAATGAGTTAACTCAGCTCCTGCTGTTAAGCCCTGGAAATTGTGGTTAAGTAGTCAGCCATCATAAAAAAAAAAAAAGGCAAACATTTGGTTTAAATAGAAAAGTTCTTCTGATTGTTAAATCAGCATTAAAGCAGGAGACAAAAAAAAATTAAAAAAAAAAAAGGAGTTTATTTAGAATTCCTGTTCCAGCTGGTGACAGAATTTATGTCATTTGCAACAGGAGGAAAAGAACCAGGGCCACATTTACTTAATGTATGTTGTGTGTTTCTGAGAGTTGTCTCCTGTGATGGTTGACAGCGAAACAAATCTTGCATAATTCTGTATTTCTGAGTGATATAAATGCCTTTCTGAAAGAAAATCCATGAAAGACAAAAATACTCAGGAGCAACAGCAGCAGATCCTGGTTTCGAGTTGGAATATTTGGAAGCCAGGGTATTTTTATATCTATAAATACATGTATAAATAAATATAAAGACATATATAATACAGTATCTTAATTCACATATATAATACAGCTTTAAAAGGACAGGGAAAGTCACCAGGAATGTTTTCCATGCCCACAGGAAGCCCCGTGTACTCCGTGGCCTGGGGACCCGACTCCGAAAAAGTTCTTTACACCTCAGGGAAGCAGCTGATTATTAAACCTCTCCAGCCAAATGCTAAAGTTTTGCAGGTATTATCAATTTTATTTTTTTTTTCAATAAATAAAGGATACAGAAAAGCAGCTCTTTTAATCTGCACTTAAAGCAGGTTTTTAGGGCGGATTTTCGTGCTTTGATTCTGCCTCGGTCAGGCTTTATGTCATTTATTTTCCTGCTGAGTCACAGAATCACTGAGGTTGGATGAAACCTCTGAGATCATCCAGGTCAGTGAATGATGAATATTAAAACTAGAAGTCAGGCTGGGTTTAATTGGTTTTGTTTCCATTTCAGTGGAAGGCCCATGATGGGCTGATTTTAAAGACTGACTGGAATTCAGTGAACGATCTGATCCTTTCTGGGGGTGAAGATTGTAAATATAAGGTGAGTTCTGCTTCACTTTGTAACTAAATGGCCAGAAAAGTTATTAGACTGAATTTTAAAAATTTTAATAGTAATTTTTTGGGGTTGGTATCTTCTGTATCCAAAATAAAAGGCACATATTGTGTCTCTTCCCTTGAGTAGGAACTTAATTTTAAGTGTATCTTGTCCTGTCAGCAAAGTGTGTAGTGGCTGTGATAAAACACACACAGTTAAACACCCAGAAACACCCAAATTAAAAAATAAGCAAATTAAAAAACCTCACATAAATTTAAAAAAATAAAATCCATATTTATTAAAGTGTTAAAATGAAATGATTTTGTGGATTCTGCTGATTTAAAAAAAATAAATCTACCTTGGAAATTTTCAGAGGGGCCTCATATTTTGGGAAATGTGTGCAAATGGGATAAACTCTGTGGTTATTTTACAGACTTGGGGTCACTATTTACAGGGAATTATGTTATACAGAACAGTGTAACACTTGCCATGGCAGCAAAGAGAAGTTTCTCTCATTAAACAAACCAATCTGGATTAGGAAGAGCGGGGAAATTCCGTGAAAAGTGAATTCCGACACGGGAGATTTTTCCAGTTCTGCTGACATAACATGCAGAGTTATCCAGAGTTATCCCTGCTCCTGCTGGGAGAGAGGATGGAGTCAATAACCCCAGGCAGGCTGTGCTGGCTGAGGTGGATGTTTGCTCTGTGCCCTGCAGGTGTGGGACAGTTACGGACGTCTCCTGTACAGCTCCCAGCTCCAGGAATATCCCATCACTGCCCTGGCCTGGGCCGTGGATGGGGAATTGTTTGCCGTGGGCTCCTTCAACACCTTACGGCTCTGTGACAAAACTGGGGTGAGTGGCAGCCAGAACCGGGGGGAACTGGGTAAACTTAGGGAATATTCCTCGGGATATCGGCGATTCCATGAGGAAAAACCACATTCCCACTGCCCCAGTTTGGGGCATAATAAAGGCTCAGTCTGTGCACTGGGTGCAAAATGCATTTAAATTGTTGGCCCCACCCGCAAAAGGGGGTTTTATTTCAGTTTATAGCTCAGTGATGCCACTTCTTACACAGGAGACAGCGGGGGATGGAAAGTGCAATCTGCTCTCCAGCCTTAGGCCAAAGAGAAATAAAGATGTATTTATTGCTAATTTAGTATTATATTATTGCTATATAAATACACATTAGAAATATTGTTATATTTATGTTTATTACTAATTTAGTACTATATTATCACTATATACACATTCAAAATATTGTTATAGTTTATGTTTATTGGTTTGAAAATTCTATATAAATTGCAATTCATTACTTTGAAAATTTTATATAAATTGCAAATTATTACTTTGAAAGTTGTAAATTATTAATTTGAAAATTTAAAAAAATTACTTTGAAAGTGTATTATATAGGATATATATACATTTTATAGTATATGTAGTACATTGCATATATTGTATCTATAATATATATAATATAGTATATATTATATTATAATATAGTATATATTATATATACTATATTATACTATATAGTATATATAGTATCTATACTGTGTTATACTATGTATAGTAATATAGTATATATATTATATATTTTATATAGTATATAAATAATTCAAAATATAAATTATTAACTTAATTTAATTTCTTAATAATTTAATTAATTATTATGATATTTAATTTTACTTTATATATTTATTTATAATAATTTGTTTAATTTAATATAAATTATTTAATTTATCATATCAATTATATATATAAATCTTATATATATAAAATTTTCAAAGCAACAAATTGCAATGACTACCCATAAAAAGCAAGGAGTGTATAAAAATTTCTTCAAGAAGGGGGTAGAACATCAGCATCCTGCACTTTTATTACTATATTACATTTTATTCTTTTTCCTTCTGGGTCGTTAGTGCCATTTTTCCCCTTGGTCTGCAGTTCAGATTCATCCGAGGCCGCTCCCCATCCCTGCGCTGGTGTCTGAGTCAGCCCCAGCACAGATTGACCTCATTGTCTCTGTGGGTTTCCTGTGGTTCTGCAGCTTTTTGTTGCACCAAACTTGCCTTATTTGGGGTTTTTATGGGCCCGTTTTCTGCCTCTTTTCTTGTCTTTGTTGCTTTTCTGGGGGAGTTAAAAAATGGCTGGGGTGGTTTGGGTGCCATCAGCGGATCCTGGTTCACCTTCCCATCGACTTCAGCCTGGGTGTTCCAGGAATTTTAAATTCCTGAAGAGCCTTTTGAGAGGATAAAACGTGGTTCATCACCCCACTCTTAAAGAAACAATTTTATTATTTGTATTTTATTATTTGTATTTTAATGTTCATTAAAATACAAATCCCCAGTAGCTGCTGCCAGATGCTTTGTCAGCTCCCAATGACAATGTATTATCCTCAAATCCTTAATTTTTCCCTGCAAGTTTCTTTGCTGATACTGGACAGTAAATATCTATATCATTAACTCTTCTCTGCATGTGTATTCATTTTGGGGCACAATTGCAGCAAATTTAGGGGGTCAGAATTCACCTCTCATGTTCTTTCCACTTGCTGGCTTAGTTGTCACGTTCCAAATGAGACTTACAGATTTAACAGCAGCTTTAGAAGCTTTATTTCTTCATTTCAAAACCACTCTAGCATTAGAAATTATATAAATATATATAAAACATCCTGCAAAATACCAAGCAAAATACATTTAACATTGAAATTTGCTGCCTTCTTAATGCCCATGATCATTAAACCTGCAGAGAAATATAAATAAATCCATATATTTGAGGTGTAAAGCTGATGGACTGATGGATATTCAGCCTTCCTGGTGTTCCCAGCTTTCCAGGATGGGATGCCTTGGATGGAGGGCAGTGCTTCAAAAGTTCATTTATGTCAGCTATTTCCTGTGGCTCTGCTGCTTCCCTCGACACGACTGAGCAGGTCCAAATATTTACACAGTGAGAGATGGGAAGAATGAGTGAAATTCCCTGATTTCCTCCTTCCCCGCTCCACTCCCACAGAGGGAGCTTGGAAAAAGGACCAGATCCAGCTGCTCCAAAGGCAGGAAAAGTGTGAGGCAAAATAGAACATGACAGGTGATGTGGGGACAACTTCACAGAGTCATTCCTGCAGTCACTATTTAAAAAAAAAATAAAATAAAGGAGTGTATTTAGGAAATCCTATTTCAGATTTTGAAGTTGTTCCTGTCTTAGCAATGGAGAGCTAAATGATTTTTATTAGTACATTTTATATACATGATAAATGCCCCAGACATCTGCAGGGACTATGAATCACTGGAGTGGTGGGATTTACACTGGGAGCTTCAAAAAGAACTGGAAAACAAAGCCTTGAATGGCTCTTTAGATTTTTATTTTTTTTCCCCTTAAAAATGTAGGTTATGATTCTGGAAATATTTTAGTATTTCAATGACCTGGAAAAAAAAAAAAAGGCTTATGGTTAAAAGGCTCATTTTAGGCAGCAGAAGAAATCAGAGTATAAAATGTGTTGTGAGCATCAGGTGAGGCTTTAATTCCAACTGTGTCCCCCTTTTGGCATAATTTCACATATCCAATAGTCAATCCAATGTCTGTTTAAATTTCAGCTTCAATCACATGGTTCTTACTGATTTGCTTCTAAAGATTTCAAAGATAGTTGAAAATTCAAGTAGTTCTCCAATTACTACATGTTTAAATATTCCACTGTAGAATTATGAGGAGGCAATAGTTGAGATTTGCTGCTTGTTTTCAAAGCTGGTTTAAAGTCTTGCTAAAATTCCATGAAAAGGTTATTTCGGTTTTGTGTCATTCAGAGATTAGGGGTGATTTGTGTGTTGAGTTGCAGGAAATAAAAAACAAGGCTCTTGGTCTGAAAAATCCTGCTTTTGGACAAGGATTTATTAATAATAAAGGTCTAAACTTCAGAGGAGTCTTTGTGCATAAAATGGGGGAAAATTCAGAATAAACTTCTTTGTCGGAGGACATTTCTGATACATCGCTCACAGCGAGTAAATCGAATTATTCCTAAGCGGTTTTAATCCCTTTTTTTACTGATTTTTGTTTTATTTGACAGTGGTCTTATGCCCTGGAGAAGCCCAACACTGGCAGCATCTTTAACATTTGCTGGTCCATCGATGGCACCCAGCTGGCTGGAGCCTGCGGGAACGGCCACGTCCTCTTCGCCCACGTCGTGGAACAGCGGTGGGAGTGGAAGAACTTCGAGATCACCTTGATCAAGAGGAGAACCATGAAGGTGAAATTCCAGTTCTGAGCTCTGCAGGATTTTAATTTGGAAGAGTTTGGAATGGAATTTGTCCCCTCTGTTCCCGGACATCGCTCCCCGAGCACTGGGATAATCCAAGATTCCCATCCTGCTGGATTTTCCAAGCGCCACATTTGCTGTTGGACACCAAGCCTGTATTTTCAACATCAGAGTCGAGTTCCTAAATCCATAATCAGGCCCTTTGAATGCCTTTTTGCCCCTGATTCTTCCCATGTTGGATTTGGAACTGGGAAAAGCTGGAAGAAGAGCGGTGCTGTGGGAGTTTGGGTGGGATGTGATGAGTCAGTGTCTGGGAACACAGAGGACAAATCAGCAGGTAAAAAATTCCCATTTTTTTTTTTAATCATTTCATTCCCAGACATCGACTCGTAACAGATGGACTCTGGGAATGATCTCCAGGGGATCTGAATATGCAAACACCGAGGAAGTAAAACCAACCCTGAGTCAGGACTAATTTTCCATCTTAGCATTTTTGGGAGTGAATTTATTCCTATATGTTCATGTAGGAAAATGTTGCCTGCCAAAAAAAAAAGCCAAAATTGTGGTTGCATTTTCTTTCTGAGTGCAACAGCCAAGTTAATTATGGTCACAGCAATTAATAATCTTTGGAAATGGTTTTAGAAATAATTGAGCTCAGGCCTTGTTTTGCAATTGGTTGTGTAATGGAGAGAATCAAAAGGAAGTTGCCACCCTCAGGATGGTGCCATGATAAAAAAACCCCAAAAAACCCCCAAAAAAACCCCCCAAACAAACAGGACACTTCTCTGTCCAAGATGCCACCTTAGATTTTTAACTGTCTAAAATGTCTGAGCTCAGAAATCTCTGTGGATCAGAGGCAAAGGTTGTAACTGGAGCAGATTTTTAGTGAAATGGCAAAGGCACAACCTGCTCGTGGAGGCACTCCTGAAATTCCTGGACTCTGGAGCGTGGAAGCATCAAAATCCATGCTCCAATCCCTCCTCCCAATCCTGGATATTGCTGGATTGTTCTGGGATCACTGAAATGGGAATTTTCCAACATCTGGATGATTTCCTCAAGGAGAAATATTTCAGTTTTTCATTGCATCTGTCGTTGTTTTATTCAGCTCAGTTTGCCCTTTGTAGGTGCACAATGTCATGAACGATGCCGAGGATTCCTTGGAATTCCGGGACAGGGTCATTAAAGCCTCCTTGGACTATGGATATCTGGTTGTTTCCACTTCCCTTCAGTGTTACGTGTTCTCGTGAGTAACTCCCAATCCATCTCCCTCAACTCTATCCAACAGCTTTTTTTTTTTTATCCAACCTCCACAGCACTGTAAACCAGTTCAGAAATATTAAAAAATATCTTTATTTCCCATAAATATGATTTTTCTGCTTGCTAAGACTGCTGCTGCTGGGAGGGGATGCAAAAATTAACTATATTATGTGCTTATCCACGTTTCTTGGCTTCCTAAATACTGTTTTAATTTTAAAAACCTCCCCTTTCAGGAGTGTTAAATCTGCAGGATTTGCTTAGTGAATCCAACTTTGTGTTTTGCAGAGTGAAGATTTTTTGGGGGGGTTTTAATGCTGATCTTTTTTTTTTCTTTCATTTCAGGACAAAGAACTGGAACACCCCACTGATCTTTGACCTGAAGGAGGGAACTGTGAGTTTGATTTTACAAGCAGAAAGGTACCTTTTGGGACTCCTGGTAATGCCCTTTATTAGATGTGGACACAATAGAATTATTAACTATTAAATGTGGATGTGGAAGCACAAACTGAAATATTACAAGTGGAAAACACAGATTTCTAACAGATTTCTCATATAATTAAAAATGGAAAACACGTGAAAAAAGCATAAATATTTCTGATAGTAAATATTTCTCCTGGAAGGAGATAACTTTCACGTTAAAAATTAACTCTCCCACACAGAGCTTCCAGAATTACCTTAGAAATAATGAGGTTGAACTTGAAACAGTTGCAGGATTTTAAACAATTCCCTTCACATTGTGAAATTTTCTTCCTGTTTTTCTGTATTATTTAGTGTTTAATTCTTTTGCTGTTTGGTTTTGGGGGTTTTTTTGTAGGCATTTTCTTCTTGTAGATGGTGGAGGACTTTATTTATATTCCTATGAGGGCAGATTAATTTCCTCTCCAAAATACCCAGGCATGAGGACAGACATTTTAAATGCCCAGACGGTGTCTCTGAGCAATGACACCCTGGCAGTGAAGGACAAAGCTGATGAGAAGGGTGAGTTCTCTGGGATTTATTAGAAAAAAAAAATATATTTATTGTAGAAATTCGTATATTCACTCTAAGAATTATTTTAAATTAATATATTCACTATAAAAATGAATTGCAATTACGAGTCTTGCTTAAAATATATATATATATATATATAAAACTGAAATTCCAGTTGAGTAATGGAGCAGAACTGTGGAATATTTGCAGAAAATAACAGAAAAACAGATTTTCACACCCTTACATGGGATTTTTCTAAAAACTCAGCAACTTTTTGTGCTTTCCTGCTGCTCTAAAAAAAAAACTTCCAGTGCTTTAGCTGGGATTAATTTTAGTCCTCAGATGTTCTTTGCTTTGGTTTTAATGGATTTGTGTCTTCATAGCTTTTGTCTTACCTTTGTATCTGTGTAGATTTATCTCTTTTATAAATTTATATCTCTCTATATATAATTTTATACTCTTAAATGTTGTATTTTTGACACTGAAAACTCAGTGATATTCCCTGACAATAAACCACACCTGCTAAAATACAATAAAACCCAACAGAATAAAACCACAATTTTCTTTCTCTGGCTGAGACAACGACCTTTATTAATATTTTTAGTTTCTGCCTGTAAAAAAAAATAAAGATACGTTTTAGGGTTTAAACGACTGAAAAACCACGTGGAGTTTTTCCAGGTAGGAAAAAATAAAACCAACCTCAAACTTATTTCTGAAATCAATTGCAGATTAATGAGAATTGAACCAATTTCACTGGTGAATTAGTGCAGTGGGTTTTTTACAGCTCCTTTAATCTCACTTCCTCCAGCTGCTCTGGGGGTGTCAAATCGACTTGCTTGGGTAAATCTAAACATTTCAAGCCTAAAAGTGAGAAAAAAAAAACACTTCTGAGGAACAACAAATTTTCTTTTGTGTCTTCAACCCTTTTTTTTTGCCTCCTCTGCACAACCAACTGATGGTTTGAACACCTGCTCTGGCAGTTTGAATTTTTTTTTTTTTGAATTCTGCCTGTAAAAGTGTGTTTATTGAGAGAGAAAAACTTTGTTTTCAGGCAGGTTGCAAATTGGAGTTTTCACTGGATACCCCAAAAAAACTCCCAGCTGATGTAGGTGGGGTTTTTTTTGGAGGGTTTTTTTTATTAAGGGGGAGGCAGAGAGAGAGTGGAACAAGTGGTAAAAGTGCAAGAATTATGTATATCATATACCATATATATATATATATAATTCAAGAATCAAGGAAAATTCAAATATCAAGTAAAATCCAAAATACCTGGATAAACCAATTGCTTTTTGAGGAAGCCAGTAATTAATGTGTAATATTAATTAATCATAACTGTGGTGTCACGAGAAGCAGCTTGAGCTGTCCTGGGAGAAAATATGGATCAGGAATTCCAAATAAAGCAGATTATTAATAAAATAAACAATGTTTCTGAGGAATGTTCTCCCCAACAGGTCTGAGGACATCTTTTAATATATCTGATATTAAATCCTTTAATTTAATTTAACCAGTCAATGGCATCACTTCCTAAACATTCACATTGATCACAATTGTGGGTTAAGGTTCAGTAAATCAGATATTGGGAACAGGAATTTATTCATTAACTTCCCTCAGAATTTAGTGTCACTTCTCCTGCTTTGAACTAATAAATTCATTTATTATGTTTTGTTTTTTCCTTCAGTTATTTACATATTTGAAGCTCTATCTGGAAAACCCCTGGGTGATGGAAAACCTCTGACCCACAAGGTGAGCTGAAGGATTTGATATCTGATTTTTATTATGCTTAGAAATGAAGAACCAATTATGGGTTTCCTCAAAAATGGGGCTGTTGAAGGTTTTAAAACCTTAATATGGAGGAGCTTTTCAGCTCTGACTGACTTTTATCTTCACTCTCCTGGTGCAGAACTTTGTTTTAATCTTCATGAAATCCAATTTATGAAATCGTAATTGGGAAATTCCCTTTTTTCCTTTCCAGACCGAGATCGTGGAGATTGCTCTGGACCAGAAAGGCCTGACAAGTGAGAGGAAAATTGCTTTTATTGATAAGAACAGAGATCTCTACATCACCTCAGTGAAGAGGTTTGGCAAAGAGCAGAAGATTGTCAAAATAGGTGAGGAAAATTCCAGTTCACGTTTTGGGACCGTGCTAGGAGGGAATTCGATTTTTCTCCAGTACTTTTGGCTGCTTTAATTCATAGTGAAATTCAACCTGAAAAAAAAAACCAAAAAACAAATATTAGAAATAATTCTTTAGGCAGTTTTAAGACATTTGATCTGAATTCTGATAACTTTTATAACGTGTGAAACACAAACCAGGGGGTTACAACCAGCCCTTTGAAATGAGCTAAAAACGATGAAAAATTACCATTTTACTCCAGTTTGAGAAGGGCACCTTTACTTTGGAAGCTTCTCACGGAAATGCACGTTTTTTGTCTTGAAATGAAGGGACAATGGTTCAAACCTTGGCTTGGAATGACGCTTCCAACATCCTCTGTGGGATGCAGGACACCCGGTTGACAGTCTGGTACTACCCCAACACGGTCTACGTGGACAAAGATCTCCTCCCCAAAACCCTCTGTGAGAAAGATGGAAGGTAATACATCATCTTTGGATGAAAAAGGATGTGTTTTAACCAGTTTACTCATCCCTTCCCAAACTGTGAACCAGAGGTTGCAACTTTTCAAACTCTCTTCGTGTTACTTGATTGGGAAATGAGGGGAAAAAAGTGGGGTTTCTACTTAAATCACGAAGTGTGGAGTTGAAATGATGATGGGCAGTTTGAAGGTAGAGCAGCATCTTGGTGCAACAGCAAGGTTTTAATTCTGTCTCATGGAAACCTGCCCAAACAAACAAAAAAGATCTGTTTAAATTGTTGGAAATCAAAAATAGAAGGATACAAAGTCGGTGACGATTTCTGTTTCTGTCGAAAGGAGTGAGGATTAACTTCCCTTTCTTCCTCTCCACAGCGAATTCAGCAAAAACCCCCAGATTGTGAGCTTTGTGGGGAATCAGATAACCATCAGGAGAGCAGATGGTTCCCTTGTGCACCTGAACATCTCCCCTTATCCCGGGATTCTCCACGACTACGTCCGGGCTTCCCGCTGGGAAGACGCCGTCAGGCTGTGCCGCTTTGTCAAGGTAAATGCTGAGCCCTGGGAATGTTCAGCTGCCATTCCACGCTGCTGAATTTCTTTGGGCTGCCCGTGGAAAATTCTGTGGTTTTCATCATCTGCTCTCACAATCAGAATTTCATTTCCTAACCTACCCAATGGCACCATTGTCATTATAAAGAATAATCCTTCTTTTTTGAGTCATCCCAGCTGGATTGAACACAGAGCTTCACTTTTCAGGACTGGGCTTTAATCAAACCAATTAAGAATGACCTTAATTTCCACAATTCTCTCTTATTTTTCTTATTTTCTTTCACTTTGTTTTTTTTTCTTTTCCCTTGCTTGCTTTTTTAATTATTTAGACAACAGCAACAGGTGAGGTGAGTGTGGTAGTGTTTAAAACAAAACCCAATCCCTCCAAGCTCTAATTCCTTTATCCCCTTTACTCCTAGAAAAGAGTTTTCATCCTGACCTTAAATGTGTATTTCAGGCATTCCTGTGACTGCTTTATAAAATCAATACCCAGCCATGTAAGTTGGGTTGTATAATTATAATAAAGTCGTTATTTTCCATGTGAAGAGTCTTCTCATCATCTGATTGAAGCATCCAAATCAGGTTATTTGGATTTTTGGCAACCCAGGCAGACAGTTCAAAATATTTCTAATTAGGAATAAGAAAATGGAGGGATATTTCTGAGGTGGGGGGAAAAAAAGAGCAGCAAGACCCATCAGGGGACAACTCCTGCAAACTTCCTCTGGATAATTTCACTCTGAACTTCCCATATTATCACCTAATTTTATAAATAACGGGGAAGTGGGAAAAAAAACATGACCAAGATGTTTATGATGTCCAAATTAGAGCTTTCAGCTGTGGTAGCCCAATTATAGCTATAGTAGGAAACATATGGAAAACATATTTCTATATTAGAAATTAGAAATTTCTGTATTAGAAATATGTTTCAGCAGTGTGGCTTTGTCATAAGGTTGTCACTTGATATCAAAATGTCATTTAGGATCTTCCTAAATGTTATTCTGAGTTTGTGGTTAAGGTTGTGTTAAAAACAAAAACAACAAAAAAAACCACAAAAAACCCAACAAACCTAAACAGAAACAACCAAGCAACAGAAGCAATGAAAATAATAAAAAAAGGGTGTAATAATATTATTATTACCTATAAATGTTTCCATTTCCCAGTTCAGAGAAGTAATTAAACAGCGATTTTGCAGTGAGAAACTCAGACCACAGTACCACAAGTGGCATAACGAGAAAGGACTTGTGTGCTCCCTTTGGGCAGTGATTTTTGTGTGCTCCCTTTGGGCAGTGATTTTTAGCGTGCCAACAGATGTTTGAAGGTGGAAAAGCTGCTTTTTGGTCTGAATTTCAGGAGCAGAGCCTGTGGGCGTGCTTGGCTGCCATGGCAGTGGCCAACAAAGACATGGCAACAGCTGAGATCGCCTATGCAGCCATTGGGGAGGTAAGAAAAGTGCTGCAAAGCTCAGTTTGAATCATTCCTGCCCCTTCATTAAAGTGCTGGGCTTTCTCCTTGGCAGATTGACAAAGTGCAGTACATCAATTCCATCCGGGATCTGCCCTCCAGGGAGTCCAGGATGGCTCACATGCTGCTCTTCAGTGGCAACACCCACGAGGCTGAAACTCTGCTGCTTCAGTCAGGCCTGGTTTATCAAGCTATTCAGGTCAACATCAATCTCTACAACTGGGACAGGTTGGGTTTCTGCAAGCTAAAGATGTTTTTAAGCAGCTTCTCTGATTATTTACACCAGTTGTTTTATTGCTGGCTGATATTTAGCTGACTGATTTTCTGCCTTGAACCACCCCAGAGCTGTGAAAAGATGAAGGACATCATATCCTGACAACAACCAGGAAAAGGCACATTCTTGGGCCATGTTTAGAAAACACAGATACTCTGGGAGGAAAATCCAATCCGTGCTTGGAAGGGTTTGGAAATAACATTTAAATGACATTTTCATCACTGCTAACACGGAAAAGTCCTTTGTGATGCCCCCAAACTGAGGGTGACCCTCAAGGAATTAGGGCTGTTTTGAAATATCTCGCTGCTAAAAATAGAGCTGTGGCTGTCCAGGCTCCCAGCACTGTGTAGGTGGATAAAATATGAATTAGGCCCTGAGAAAACAAAGCAGGAATTTCTCCTTTAAACACAAACCCACGTTTTGTGACACAATCTTCTGAGGCCGCTTACTCCTGATTTCTCTGCATCACTGTGGGCAAAAGGTTGTTTTCTCCCCACACATCTGTGTGGTTTTTTTGTTTGGTTGCCTATTTTGAGGCTGTGTCAGGGGAGAGGTGTAGGCTGGATATCAGGAAAAGGATTTTCTGTTATTTATGGATCAGCTGAAAACTCTGGATATCAGACACGAGTGTTCCTTTCTGAGAAGAAAACAGATGCAATGAATTTCATTAATCCAGTGACTAATCTATAATTGTAAATCCTGTAGAGCACATACCATAAATGTGCATTATTTTCAGAAGCTGTAAAAAACTTACCAACCATCATTATTTTTGACACCCCAACTCCTGCTCTATCCCAGGGCCCTGGAGCTGGCAGTGAAGCACAAGACACACGTGGACACAGTCCTGGCTTACAGACAGAAGTTCTTGAAGGATTTTGGGAAAAAAGAAACCAACAAGAGGTTTTTGCAGTATGCAGAAGGGGTAGGTGTTCCTCAGTCCTGCAGCCTGGCCTTGCTGGGCTGGGTTTGCTCTTATATTTTCCTTCTGTGGTTCAAATGTGAAGATAAATATGTAGATTTTACATCTAAGGTCATGGTTGGGTGTGTTGGGGCTGCTTGGCCAGGAAGAGCTTGGCAGGTACAGATACAGAATATATATGTTTATATATATTTATGTGAGCAGAGTGAATTTGCACCTCACACTCTCCAAACTTGGGTCTCAGAGCGCAGATTTCTGGAGGAAAGGAATCCTTTTCCACATCCATATGCTGGAGGTCTTGTCTGCTGGATCTCAGAACTGTTTGAGGGAGTGGATTTTAAGCTGTAACTAAATTTTCATTGCAACCTCCTAAAGCAAAATCAGAAGGAAATCACAAGAGCACGCAAGGGAAAAGCCAGATTTTGTGCTGCTGTTCCTTCTCAGGGATAAAAAAGGGTCTCACCTTCCCTCTCCCCACCTAAAACTCCTTCAGGCTTAAATAAGGAGGTTTTTGGGGCATGTTTTTATGGCCATCAGATGCACCATGATCCAGTTTTTTTCCCCATATCAAGCCCTTTTGGAAAACAAGACAAGTGCTGTGCCTCACACATGGCTGGGCTGAGGTTTCACTGACACAGGATACAGGCAGAAGATGACAATTCTCTGCAGCTGGAGAAGAGCCAAGGCCAAGCCAAAACACTTCTTGATGGCAGCAGAAGGGGAATTTGAAGCAGAAATCTGATTTCTGTTGCAGCAGATGACTGGTGGAACACGCTCTCAGCTCCCCCACAGGAGACATCCCTCGTTTATTATTGATGAGCTCCCAGTAACAGGACACTGCTGTCCTGACACTGAAACTAAAAGCAAGTTATTTCTGTGTTTTGATGTTTTATTATTGCCAGAAACAGGGAGATGTGTCTTGTTAAATATTTTAAATATTTTAATCAAGCTTGGTTTAGTTTAAAGGTGGAAGCTCTGTTAGGGCTCAGCTGTGCCTTGGTATCTTCCAGGAGTAGAAGTTAAATCCTCTCCTCACTTTGTCGTTGTATCTTCCAATTGTCCTGCTGGTGAATAATTAATCTGACCCCTCAGACTGACCTCTGTGTATTTGCTTTTCTGTTCTTACAGCTGGAAGTGGACTGGAATAAAATCAGAGCCAAAATACAGATGGAAATTGTTAAAGAGAGAGAACGAGCAGCAGCCAGTCCTGCAGGGAGGACCAGTGTGACTGTGCAGCAATAGCTGACATTTTGGGCACCTCAACAAGTGCTTCTGGAATGTTTTGGGCTGGCATATTTTGATAAATATTAAAAAAAAAAGCCCCAGGAACATTTAGTGGGCAGCAGGAGTGAGAATTTGTGGAGATCTTAATGGCTGGGTGCCACACAGGATGATTTATCTGCTCTCACTTTGAGCTGGGTTCATGTTCTGCTGCCCTGGCTCCATTTTAGTCCATAATATCTGAGAAAAAAAAGGGAAATTAACTGTCCCTCTGTTAGTGGCTTTTCATTTGTCATTGCCAGTCAAATGACTTCACCTTGGTTGCCTCTAATTAAGGACCAATTTCTCTGTTCAAGCACCTTGTGAAGAGGTTGGGTTATTCCTGCAGCCTCAGGGACCTCTCCAAAGTCTTGTGTAAATTGTCCCAAAAGCAAATTTAGCAAACTGTAAGTGCTGAGAATGTAAAAAAGATATAAATGCAGGACATTTCACTCCCAGTTCTGGTAACACCTCTTTCTGTCAGTGCATGTGGAGCAGCAGGTTCTTTAACAGAGAATTCCAGGTGATTTCAGCAGCTCTGCTTTGTCCCTGAGCAAAATATTTACCAATAAAGGGTATTTTCTGAGGGACTGTAAACTGTTTAAAATAGTTGGGAGTTGTACTGCACTGGGGGTTGGTTTTGTTATTCATCACTGACATTGTATAATATGTATTTTTCAAATGTTACCACCAAAAATATCTGTACATATGTGTGGGAAATGTCTTCTGGTTTTGTAAATCAATATGTGACCCTTGTGTGAATAGTTCATAAATTTCATAATAAAAACCAAATAATAAATAAATAAAAAGAAATAGCAGAAGGCACAGATGTTTCATGTATGGTTTGGTCACATCATTGCCCAGAGCAAAAATAGTGACTCCTCAGCCATTTAATATCTCTGAAAAATAAATAATCCCTTCAACATTAAAATATTTAAGCTTGATTGAAAGCAGTCTGAGAAGCAGGGATGAAATGATGGAAATTCCATTGTGGGGGTGCTGTTGAGATGGATCAGTTATCAAATATAATCCAAATTTTGCCATTGCAGGGTGGGAGTTGAGCTCTTACTCTTCATTTTACATCGACCACAACCCTCTCTGGTTATCAGAACAGCAGGTGGAAAAAAATCTCTTTAAAAAAGAGGTAAAAAGTAAAAGCTCAGGTGAGTGTTTAAAAACCCATTGCATATTTTTAATAGCTGAGGGGGGAAAATTTAAAAATACCTTCTGTTTTCTGGTGTTTAAGACAATAGGAGTTTGAGATCTCGGTTTATCTGTGGGATTTTATCCTTTGGGGCTGGAACAGGAGGAAGCTTTGAATGAATCATCTGAGCTGAAAATTTGATTTCACACTTCAGGTAGAACCATTTCCTGCAGAAAAACCCTGGTGGTTGTTGCCTTGGTCGCTTCAGAGCAGTCAAAAATTATGAAAAGCCAATCATGGAAAAGCTTGAAGCTTTCTAAAATTTAATTTGAAGTTTAAATATATATATATTTAAATAGATATATAAATATTATCTAACCTAGAGATAAGGGGGATGTGTGGGGGACACTACTGGGGTTTATATTTTTAATTAGATATATATGGGTTTAATATTTTTATTGGGTTTATATGGTTTTTTTTTTTATTATACCTACAAATTCTGAGACTTCCACTTCTTAATTTTTTGTGAGGCCAAAGATGACATTTTACTCTGCAGGGGGAAGAGCTGGGGAGAAGAAAAAAAAAGGGCTTATGAATTGATCACATGGAGGACTCTGTATTTCCAAAGAACACTTTTTATTGATCCAGTTCAGTGCTATAAAATCTCCAATACTGAAAACACGACCTGTCCATTTGAATTCAGGTGCCTTTTGCCCTCTCCTGTGGATGGTTCTGATGGAAACCGAGTGCTTCACAGAAAATCGGGATGGGCTTGGTGTCTCCAGGGGAAGGGGCAACGTGCCAGATTAAATGGGTGCACGAAACTGGGGGTGTTTAATTATTTAATTATGTTTTGCTCTATGTAAATGGGGCCGTTGAGATCCTACAGCCTGGAAATGCTCTAATTCTATTCTAAATAAACATTCTCTGTGATTACAGATGTGCCTTGAAAAGAGGAAAAGGAAAGGGCTCGAGGCTGCAGCTCCCGACAGGATCCTCCAAGTGCTCAATTCAAACTGGAGGGAAAAAAAGGGATTTTATGGAGCTTTTGGGCACAAACCGATTCCGTTCCTGGGGGAGAGCTCAGGTGAGCTCCTAATCCTGGAGGAAGCTGTGCTCAGTTGGTCATTTAGGAGTCATTTGGATGCTCCCAGCTCATCCAGGTGTGATGGCAGTGGGGATGGAGGTGCTTTGTGCCTATCCTTGGATTTATTTGCCGTGTTCCTGCCCCAGTGTTCCCGCTGTGGGCCGGAGCTGGGTTGGGATGTGCCCTTCCCTCGGAGCAGGAGGGATCCCAGGTGGGCAGGGAGAAATCAAAGCACGGGAGCAGAAGGTGCCAGGATTTTATTAGCAAGCTCTGGAGGTGTTTTGTCCTCCCTTTGCCCTGCAGCCCCCGGGAGGCTCCGTACACCCGCTGCGACATTCCCGGCTGGAGAGACTGATCCTGGCGTGAGCCCGTGCCCAGGCGAGGGGAGCTGGGAATGCTGCATCCAACTGCAGCCGGCTCTTCCCATCCTTCCCTGGAGAGCGTGTCACCACCCTGGAGGCGATGTCCTCGCACCAGAGGTGATGTCCCCAAGTCAGCGTCCTCCTGGAAGTCCCTCCAGCACCGGGATGTGTCCCTGGGGGGAGTCCTGGTGTCCTGGATCCTGTCCCACTGCGAACCAGCAGCTGCTTCCCAGGTACAGTGGCACCCCCTCCATGGGCCCCAGCATCCTGCGGGAATCCCCGAGGAATCCCGCACATCCCTTCCGCAGAACCGGCTGTCCAGCCAGCCCTCCCGCCGCCGATCCCGGTGGGAGCCTTCCCGGGGAATCCCAATGTCCTTCCAGGAACGCCGCCGTGTCCTGGCGCCGCATCCCTCCTGGAGACCGGGGGTTCCAGTGCCCGGCCCTTGGGGGTGTCCGGCGTCTCCCGGGGGTCCCGGTCACCCTCTGTGTCCCTCCGTGCGAGCTCCGGGGTGCGCGGGGGTTTGGGGGGGCTCAGCCCGGCTCCCCCCGGCCCCAGGGGGTGCGCAGGGCGGGGGTCTCAGCCGCGAAGCCCCCCGTGCTGGCAGCTCTGCGCCTCCTCGTAGCTGGGCAGGTGCTTCACCTGCTCGTAGCGGGGCAGCGGCGGCAGCTCCAGCGCCGCTCCCGGGGGTGCAGCGGGACCCCCGAGCGGTCCGGGCGGGTGCGGGGGTCGCGGCCGGGCCGGGGGTCTCCGTCGGGGCTCGGGGCAGGCTCTGCGGCGGAGGGCGCAGCCCGCGGCCAGCAGCGCCAGCAGAACGAGCAGCGCCGCGACCCTCCGGGCCACCCACCGCGCCCGGGGCACCCAGGGGGTTCCGCGGCCACCCCCGGGCCGACCCCCGCCCCGCCGCAGCCCCCGCGGCCGCACGGCCCCGGCCCCCGCCCGCCCGCCATCCCCGCGCTGCGCCCGCCCGCGGAGCAGCCTTTTTATCCGCGCCCGGAGGGGCCTCGGCCCGCCTGAAATATTGATGGGCACGTTTGGCCGCGCTCCACGGGCTAATGGCGCTGGGGAACACGGCCAGGAGCGGCGTGGCCCAGCGGGGAGACCCTGCCACACACCCCCCAGCGCTCAGCGTGCCCCAAAATCGGCGCTGAGAGCCAGCTGGGGCAGGACCACCGAGCAGGGATGGCCCGGAATCACTCACAGGGATGATGGGAAGACACGGGGATGAGCCTGAGGATGTGGGATGAGCCCCAGGCTGCAGGGATAAACAGCACCCTGGACACGAGGATGAGAGGTACCCAAGGATACAGGGAAGAGCAGGACCTAAGGACACAGAGGTGAGTGGTACCTAAGGATGCAGGGATGAGCAGTACTGGAGGACACGAGGATGAGTGGTACCCAAAAATTCAGGGATGAGCAGTACCTGAGGACACTGGATGAGTGGTACCCGAGGATGCAGGGAAGGGCAGGACCCAAGGACACGGGGATGAGCAGGACTCAAGGATGTGAGTGGGGATCCTGGGGATGCAGGAATGAGCAGTACTCGAGGACACAGTGATGTGTGGCAGCCAGGGATGTGGGGATGAGCAGCACCTGAGGATGTGGAATGAACTCAGGGATTCCCCCAACCACGGTCCCTCATCGGTGTTTGCTGATTCCCCCCAGCTCAGCTGCAAACGGGAGAGGGGAGGAAGTTCTCATCCACTCATGGAAAAACTTACCAACATGGCACACGGCAAAAGCTGAGCAGCACTTTTCTGCCTGGTTTCCTTTTGGGGGAGCACGTGCCAAATCTGATAGGCAGCCACCGAGCCACCTCCGCCAGCGTCACTCGTTTGTTCCACTGGTGATGATTTCACTGCTCCACTGGTGAGGATTTCACTGCTCAGATCTGCAAACCTGGTCCTGCTGCCAGCCCCACTTCCATGGCTGTCACATCTAGGGCACATTTTAGGGAGCTCAGGAGAAAAGATGGGGGACAAAATGTTCTTGGTGGCAACAAAGCACCAGGCAGAGTTTGGGGAAGGAGGGGATGGATGGGCTTCTGGCAAACAATGAGAACCTGCTGGTCTTTCTCCATGTTCAGGGGTTATTGTGTGGGTATATCCTCAGTTTTGGGGCATTTCTGCCTGCAGAAGGTGCAGGAGCTGGGAAGGGTGAGCAGGAGGGTGGGCACAGCCCCAGCCCCAGCTGCTTTAGGACTGACCTGCCCGGGCACTGCCAGGGTGGCTGCTGGGCCGCTTTGCTTTGGGTTCTTCTCCTTGCCCACGGCCAGCAGGATTTGGGATGGCTCCAGCAGCAGCTCCTGCTGTGCCAGGGGCCACATTCTCTCCAGACTGCTGCTAATAAGGGATGAGGAGTTTTAAAGCAAACAGGACTGTGAGTAAACATCGGGCGCCGGGCGAAACCCGCCTGGCCATTACCAGAGGCTGCCTTTTAACAGCATTTCTGATAAGCCCCAACTCTGAGCAGAGCACCATGAAATATTAAAGCCTGTTGATAGCTCATTAGAGGCACTTCTGGCTGGCCCTGCAGCGTGTGCCATGGGCCCAGCCTGCAGCAGTGCCTGAGGAGCAGCTCTGTGTCCCGCCAGATGAGGTGGCTGGAGGGAACAGGGCACTGTCACAGCAAGGAGAGAGAAGAATTCAAATCCTGGAGGGCAGCTGTGGCCACTCCAGCATTGCCAGATCCAGCAGCCCCATGGCTGGCTTGGGAAAATGCAGAAATATGGGCTTGTGGGGGAATCAAGGCCAGGGGACTCATCCTGAGGGGGCTGCACGTGTAGGTGCTGCATCCTCGGTGGGTTTGGGGTGTTTGGGTGGTGGAGCTGGCTCAGCTCTGCCTTTGGAAATGCATGGAGAGTGTCTCCTGCCTGTGGGTCCCTGTGTCAGTGTGGTGGCAGGCAGGGGTCACTGGTTCCATGAGGATTCCATAGGCAGGGACATTTCCAGCAGAGCAGGTTGCTCCAAGCCCTGTCCAACCCAGCCTGAGAGGACCTTTCTCTGCCCCCGAGCAGAGCACTGGGGCAGCACCAGGAGATGCTGAGCCTGGATAAACCACCCTCAGCAGCCACACTGTGCCTCCCCCAGCCCCAAATCTGCTCTTTTCCAAAGAATCCCCACTTTGCAGCTGCCCAGAGTCCGGGGTAAGGTCTGGAGCCACCGAGTGGTTTCTGAAAAGGAGTTTCCAAACCCATTTTCTCCAGTTTTGCAGGGGTTGAATGACTATCGATCCTACACATGACCCCTGCAGAGGAACCCATCGATCCCTTTGGAGAGGTGGATCATTAAAACTTCACTTCTGGATCTCTGAGATGGTACCAAAGTGCTGACCTGGCTGAATAACCCTCTGATAGGGCACGGAATTGTCCCCCAGACCACTGGCATTTGGGGAGCTCTGAACCCACCCCGCAGGAACCTGCTCCCTAAAATGCTCTGGGGACAAGAGTTTCCTTTTATCAGTTTCCTTTTATAAGTTTTCCCCCCAAAATATGGGGAAACTGGTTGGGAAAAAACCCACAGTGAACTGAGATTTGTCTTTTGCCACCTCCTCCCAGGCCAGAACATGGAATTCTTAATATTCCTGTAAAACCCCTAAAGAAGCTCCTAAAAAAACAATCCATGGGCAGGGAGCTTGGAGCAGAGCTCGGGGGAAGCTCGGAATTGCTGGAATTAAACAGAGCTGGGGTTTAATTCCAGCGCTTCCCATTTCTCCAGCACATCTGCAAGTGCAATGAGGCTCCAGAAAACAAGGAGATGACTCTGCATATGTAAAAAAACCCCAACAAAACCATTACCTCAGAGCTCAGAAATCTCCACTGCCAGCAAATATTTGCTGTTGGACTATTTAAAAAAAGAGGGAAAGAGAGGCTGAAACACCCCTGGGTGACTCTGATTCCTTCCTGGGCAGCTCTGCTGTTAACAAGTCTGGGTGTCCTCCAGAAATGAGATGTATTTTCTTGAATAAATAAATCAAACCTAATAAATAAGTAAAATTTGTTCGTTCATGTATCTTATATATTTATTTTTATCTCTAGGCATAAAATTATTTATTTAGTATTTATTTATTTCACACCATTTTCTTTTCTTCAATAAATAAATGATGGAAATCTCACAGGGCAGTGATGTTGATATCAGTGGGTTGTCAGTCTTTCCATCTCAAACTTAATATAATGTATTTTATTCTTTCTAGTGAAAAATAAGCATTAGAAAGATTGGGTTGTTCTCGTTCTCCTCTTGCAAGAATTCCTTAGAATTGGGATTTTAATCCCTGGACTCCTTGGAAAGGCTCCCACTCGTGAAATGAATGTGGATGGAGCTTTCAGGGTAACAAATAATGAGCAACTCTTCCTGTAAGGGCTGATTTGCTCCAATGGCTGTTTTCCTTTTGAATAAAATTACCTTGATTTCCAAATTCCAGCATTAAACCTGGATCCAACCCCATCCATATTCAGGCCCTCGGATGTCAGGGACCCCGGGAGGAGATGGAT